GAGTTTCACTGTAGGGCGCGTGCGCTCGCCAGACAGACAGAGAGAGACAGAGAGACAGGAAGTGAGAAATCACCCCCCAGGGGGGATGGGCACGCCGCAATCCCTTCTCCTCCATTCTCCTCTCGGGATCTTGGGCACGCACGCACACGTGCCCGGCGTGAGTTTTAAGCCACCGGGTCCGGGACACGAACCGCGGTCGACTACGTGGGAGTCCAGCGACATAGCCATTACGCCAACTGCTGGTTCCCCCCCCCTGGGGGGATGATTTCTTATTTTCACTCTCTGCAAGCCCTTTGGCAAAATAATAATAATAATAACAATAAAGGCATGAAGCACCAACACACGCTGTGACAGTGACGAGCCTGGAAATCACGCGGGATGAGGGAAAGCAGACAGGTCAGGCCACAGTGCATGATTCCCCGGGTATGAAATGTCCAGAACAGCCAAACCCCCAGAGACTGGGAGCAGGGCTGACTGCTGATTGGGCCGGGGTTCCAGGGTGACGTAACATCTTGGAACCGGATAGTGGTTGTGGAGTAAAGTGTCGCAATAAATGTCCTATACGCCACTGACCTGTCCATAAACAACAGACAAACACTGCGTGCAAAGCATAGCTCCACACGACGAGCTCCCAAAAGTTGTTTTTGCAAAGTAGAGCTGGACTCCACCCTTGCTCAGGGTCTGTGCGGATGTGGGACTGTGTGCATTTCAAAGTCCACACTGCAGGCAAGCACAAAACAGGCTCCGATCTCGTCCACTACCCCTCACCTCCTGGCGGGGGAATCCTCACCAGTCCACCTTAAGGGGAAGCCCGGTCAGCCCAACCCAGCGTCCAACGCGCGCTTCGTTTACATAGCCACGCCCACCGCGGTGAGCATCCGCTGGCTCCACCCCCCCCACGTGTTTTGTGCCGGCCTCGCCCCCTCCACGCCTTCGCTACGGCGCCTCCCAACAGAATCGGAAGACGGAAGGCAGCGAGATCTCATAAATAATGCATCATAGCCGCGGCCGGTCGGGCGGGGCTTTGACGCGCTCGAGTGAGTCAAGTTCATGAATAATTCATAGAGAGGCGGGGCCTGGCGGGGCGCGTGTGTGGAGGCGGAGTTCGTGCGCGGAAGTGGCCTCCTCTAGGTACTGGAAGGGGGATGGACATCCATATGCTTTGAATATGCAGAACAGGGGTGGGCGGAGACCGCGAGCCTTATAAGGCTCGTAGGGGGCGTGGTTAACACCATTTATGAATAATGCATCACGTCGGTAAAAGCCGCGCGCCGGCGACTGTTGGCTTCTCCGGGTGCCGAGGGGGCGTGGCCACTCGGGGCTTATGAATAATGCAGCACGTCAGCGGGCGGCGGGGCGGGGCGTGGTCGGCGCGCCGGCGCTGGAGCCGGGAAGGGGGGGGCGGGGGAGCGATGGTCGCAAGATGGCGGCGCTGAAGGAGGATCGGAGCTACGGGCTGTCGTGCGGGCGGGTGAGCGACGGCAGCAAGGTGTCCGTGTTCCACGTGAAGCTCACCGACAGTGCCCTGAGGGCCTTCGAGAGCTACCGCGCCAGCCAGGTGAGCGGCGTAGGGCTCGGTTTGGCCGTCGGGGACGTCGGGGCGCGGGGCCGGCCTCACGCGCCCCTCGCTGTGGCGTCCGGGTCCCCTCCGGGTGTCGCTCGCGGGGGTGCTGGGCCGACTGGGTACGGGGTGAGCTCCTGTCCCGTCTGGCTTTCGGGGAGCCGTGCTTCTTCTCGGCACCAGGAGGTATTTCTCATAGGCGGCCTGGGGCGGCTGAGGGGCCCGAACTCGCGCGCCCGGTCGGGACGGGCGTCAGGGTCCGCACCTGGTGGCATCCGGGGCCTTTCTCAGCCCGCCCCGCACCTGGGCAGGAACTGGTCTATGCACCTGGCGAGGGTGCGGGGTCGGGGAGACTCGGGGCTTCTCGGTCCGAGTCGCTGGCAGGGCAGGTGGTGGGGGTGGCTGTTGCCTTCTTGGGGACCAGTTTCCCCGTCCTGGTCCCTGGCTGGTGGCTTTTTAGGGTGCTCCTGTCGGGGGCCACCTGTGGGGCCTGTACCTTCTGCGGTTTGGGGACGGCCCTGGACGCCTCCCGATGAGACCCCGTAAGTGGGGCTCCGTCCTAGCTCACGGGTGGGCGAGTTTAGGTGGGAACTGACAGCTCGTCCCCGGCTGGCCTGTCACCGCCCTTCCAGGTGACTCTGTCTCACGGGGCATCTGTGGCGAGTTTGGAAGTGTCAGGGGAGCCGGGAGGTGGATGATGGTGGTGGGAGGGGAATCGCTGGCTGCAGTGACTTTTTGGTGGCTTTTCCGGAGCTGGGAACCCCTGCTGGACACCCCGGCAGGGACGCTTCTGGTCACCCCATCTGGAACTTCTCAGGGACCGATTTGGGCTCCTCTGGGGAAGTGCAAAGCGTTTCGCTTCTGCCACCTGGTCGGGAGCGGAGAAGGGGGTGTTTGCCGCGGTGTGTGTCTTCCTCCAGGCCTGACTTTGGGGGGACACCACTGAGCCAGGTTGTCGGAAATCTGCCGTTTCCCATTTCTCTTGGTGTCCCGGCATCCCCTCCCCTGTCTGGGCTGGGACACTCAAGTCGCCCATGCCCAGTGGCCGGATGGCGAGGGGGGAAGTGATTGGGAAGCACTTGGCCTCGTTTCCTGAAAAACATAGAGGGGGGACTTCTTCATCCAAAGGCATTGGGGTGGGGGGAGTCTGATCTCAGGCTCAAGGAGCCTCCCCCCGACCCCAAACTCTGTGCGCGTTTGTGTTTGTGTATATTGGGGATGGGGGGGGGTGAGGGCGGGTTAAGAGACAGACTAACCAGGAAGGAATGCGGCTTTCTTCCTGCCTCGGGCTGGTTCAGCACCATTAGCTAAGCTGGGAATTTTCCCCCAAGTTTGATCACCCTCACCCCTCACCCCTCCCGCCGGCGCGTCTCCCTTCTCTGGTCAATTTCCTTCCTGTCCTGGGTGTCTGCGTTTTTCCCCCTTCGCGGATGGGGATTTCACCTCTTTTGGAACAGCGAGGTCTCCCCCCTCTGTTAAAGAGATTCTCCCGATGAGGCTCAGGCGCCCCTACAGGTGAAAAAGGAGGTGCCAGCCCCAGCCGGTCGGTCTTCCAGGTGGAAT